TAGGGACGAAGCCGTTTCACCTCCAAATTTCTCTAATTAGTTTTTATCTGAAGAAAAAGTTGCCTCAAAAGTGGTTTCAAGCCCGTAAACACTTCACTACCCACGGCCACTGGTTGTCTTAGACAGGTGGAATTCCTCGGAGAGTGTTATTATAATGTTGGGGGAAAAACACTCAAAGGAAGGTGGGGAGTGAGGGGGTGGGGGTGGGAAATGGTTGTTTGTAAAGGCGATTATCTTAGACAGGTGTTCGCTAGAGTTAGAGCAGGTTCCACTGTACTTAACATTGATATGTCACGACGCGATGGAACCAAACACTCGTCAATTTTTGAACAAGTGGAGTTATTGGTATCAATTTAAAGCTTGTTCTTTTGTCTTGCTTTCGATGTAAAAGTCCTCATCCATCTTGAATGGAAGTCGACATACTTGCGATTGAAGGGGGTGGGGGTCGACTGGTTTCAGGTGTAAAATTATCGAGAAAATGGCCGCCAAAGTTTGGTGATTTCCAAAGTCTGAGAGTCATTGGAAGCTGAAAATTTTGACCTACAATTTTTGTCCCTTTGATCAACCCTTTTCAGTTCTGTAAAGACCAACACAGAAATGTGTCTTTAAATGGACATAAAAGGTGCTGGGCCAGAAAACTAAAATTCGATAAAAATTGCCAAACCTACGGGGAAATACCGATTTCTTCAATTTGGTTATTTCAATGAAGGCCTGGTTTCTCCACGATGCCTCACAATTTATACTGTTGCATGACTGTTCATTGCCCACAGGAGCTCTCGGCTTCCTCGTCACAGGACAGGGGGCAGGGGATGCTCGGGGAAACTACGGCATTTTGGACCAGAGGCTGGCTTTGGAGTGGGTCAGCAAGAGCATCCAGGCATTTGGTGGAGATCCCAACAAAGTGAGAGGATTCCCACTGTTATCTCTATCTGTCTGCCTTGCTCTTTTTTTCATGTAGGTGTTTTATAACGCCCCCATCAACACAAATTAGATAATTTAGGAGGCAGACTTCGACCTTGTCTGTCAGGATCAACCTGGGCTGGGAGGGATGCAACATTCCAGCAGAGATCTCGAGATATTCGATAAAACGTCTGTCTGTCTGTCTGTCTGTCTGTCTGTCTGTCTGTCTGTCTGTCTGTCTGTC